AACCAGCCTCTCTGCTTCCATTCTTGCCTTCTTACAATCTATTTCCCATATACAACATAAATCAGGCCTTGTCATTCCCCTGCTTAAACTCTCCATGACTCCTGCCATCTGCCCAGTGGCCAATCTAGAGGCATCAAAACCTCCATAAAGTAAATGTGAAATATGGTACCAGATAGCTCAAGTTTTCACATACACTGTCATATATATTTAGAAAAATTTAAATGAGGCCTCTTTGAGTTCAGTGAATATTGCAATCTCATGTGGCAGCTAAAAAAAGGTACAAGCAAAAGAAAAGCAAATCCAGCAACTAAAAAAGATCTCGTCTGTTCCATTTTTTTAAAAAATCCATTATCAACATAATGGCCTTTGACCTGGAGTGTGTCTGAGTGGGAGACCTTCAGGCTTCAGAGATAAAAGCAGGGACAAAAAAAGAGAGATCGTGAGAATGGGGAGAAACAGTGACAAACAGGAGCTAAACCTGGGGGGAAAAAAGTGGGAACCATTTTGAGAGACTATTTTTGATGCATATTTGGAAATGCTAGATAATAAGGCCAATGTCCTCCTTTGTTTACCCTGCAAATTCTTCACTTAATTCTATATTCCTCACCAATGCTAATGGGTAGGTGGAATTTTGTTTCTGTGAACCTCAAAGGGAATAGCTGACATTACAGATACTACACAACTGTTATTTATAGAAAATTAGTTTATCTTCACTCTCACTAGATAAGTATCAAGCAATACTTTCCAAACATAAATCACTCTGAAGAGGCATCAAATCATTCTTGCCTGTCTGGATGCTCACATGGATCTCAGACCAGCCTTATATGAGGATATAATGTCTTTATTTCTACATGCTACCTGCCCTAATTTTAAATTTTTCCTCTATCTTTCTACCACTTTCCTCAACTGGGTTTTTGTAGGACATGTAATTTTAAAAGCCATTTCAAATCCCTTATGCAACAAGGTGGATGATAAATACAAGTAATGTCATACATGCTGATGGCTGGTCAGTCCACAAAAGCCTATCTCACACATATGTTGCCTTCTGTTATAAAATTATTTTCTAAGTTCTAATTTGATATAACCGGAATAAATCCCTCCCTCCCCAAACACTGACACAGTGATGTAAAGGGCTCTTTTTTCATCTGTCCACCTACTGGGGGAGTGGAAGAAGGAAGGATGCCTAATGCCTGGCCCAGGGCAGGATCTTCTGCTGGGTAATCAGAGGGTTGGAAAGCAGGGATCAGAAACCAAATCTGTGTGGGTGCCTACAGCCTCCCACCAGCATAAACCTGAGTTGAGCTCTGACCTCTCCAAACTCCCTGGTCACAATAACTGACCCACTGTTTCCCCCTCCACAGTAAAACCAACTGTTGTAAAGATCAGAGTATTTCTATCACAATAAATAGAAAGAGTCTCACAACTCCTCTCCTTTATTTCTATCCCTAAAGCATATACTTGGCTCCTTGGGAATTTCTAAGGGTTTTTCTTTTACAAAAAAGTTAAAAACCAAGAGTAAAAAGCACCCGCTCCTATGCCTCCCAACAGCTTTCACTTCCTTAAATCACTTAAAAAATAAAGAGTCCCACACAGATGCTAAAGACAAGTCCTTATACAAAGTACTAGGTCAAATTCATCTTGAGGATTTCCTTCCAGGGAAAAGCAGACTAAGTCTGTGCTATTTCAGTGTACCAGAGACCATGGGATTTGAAAGGGGAGCAAAACAGAGGGAGTGTATTTACAACTTACCAAATCAGTTAGCCCAGCTAAAGCAAAAACTCCTAGTGCAATATTAAAATCCTCTTCAATAATCAAATAGCCCAAAACTGGGGCCAAGCCAATTCTTGTCATTGACAACATATTTGGGATTGTCCATGGGTTTTCATACTGAAACACAAAAGACAACAAAACTTAAATTAAATGCTATGAATTCATACTTTAACTATATTAGAAAAATACACCAAAAATTACACCAACTTTGGAGTCAGAAGCTACATAAACTTTAAATTTGGTACTCTGAATTTTAAAATCCATTCTGTTGTTTACAGACCATAGCTCTAAAACTGTCCAGAACACAGAAGATGAAGATATGTCATATGCCCACAGAGTAAACTGTCTGCTATATATACAGTGTGTGTATATATACACACATACTTCCTAAAGAGAGAAAAGAACAAACATGTATTATTTACCATATAGGTCAAGGCTTTAATATAGGACTTTATGATTAGAATTCAAACTTTACAACACTCTGCTTTTTAAAAGTATAACCTCAAGAAGATCTTATACTTCAAATAAACAGTCTAGAAAGTGTTAAAAAAAAAAAAAAAAAAGCCAAATTATCAACCCCAGGCATTTTGGCTTAAAATGTTTAAGCCCTCTGCACATACCCATCAAAAGAAAGCTAAATGTTATACAGTGTATGGACATATGATGAAAACGAAAGAAAATTTAATTCCATGATCTCATCACTAAATGGATAATTGCTGGAAGAAAATGGGGCTGGAAATAGGGATTGAGATCCTTGGGAAATAAAGAGGAATTTTGTAAATCTGTTCAAAATACCCATGAAAATGAAATGTTAAGATTCCCACCTAGAATCTGAGGGCTTTAAGATTCCTTGAAACTTTATTTGGAGCCAAGCTGTTTGAAGTTGGGACTAACAAAAGGGCTCTTTGGCAGCTACTATGAAGAACATTACTTCCTTGCCAAACAAAATCTGTTTCATGAGAATATTTCAACTTTAAAAGCCTCGCCCTAGTGGAGCTAAGATACCCTGCCCAACAGGATACAGAAATAATACCAAGAAAACGTCTCCCTAAAGCCTGGACTTTTTCTCCACTGGTGAAGGTTGCCAACTCAACCCCATGGGACTATCTACTCACAAACTAACCCTACTCTTAATCAGTAACGAATTAATCTGAACCTTAACTTAGATTTTTTTAAAAAGTGAGTTTCCATTTCTAAAGAAATCTTTTAAAATTCCATGAACCATTCCGTAAGAAAAAGCAGTTCTCTAAAGAAACTAAATTTGTGTTTATAAACAAGCTGGTAAGAAATGTTCACCTTAGTTTGGAGGGCAGAAACTGCAATTGAAAGCTACAGAAAAACTTCAAATTCTCCAGGAAACAATCACGAAACAAGAAGCAGTACAAACCTCTACTCAAGGACCCTTAACTGAAAGTAGACCACATTATGTAATTAAACGGGAAAATTCTGGGAACATATTCCAAATTTAAATTCAAAGGTCAGAGTGTTTCAGAATCCAGAGGAAAAAAGATAAGTCTGTTTACCATAATGTGGTACAGAGTAAGTCAAACACTTATCCAATGTTACAGCAACTCAGAGGGCGAATAAAAAAACAACATAGTTCATGATTGAGAAAAAGGAATCACAAAGGAAAAGGTCAAAATAGAGTCCCAAAATTAATGTCAGAAATATCCATAGCGCAAAATTAAAGACAAAGTTGCAAATAGCCTGATCATTTCACTTAGTGAATTAATCAACAGAACTATAACTGGAACAGTGAGAGTTCTTTTTAGCTCCACATAAAACATTTTAAAGTACCTCATTAATTTCTAATCACTAAATTTGCAAAAGTTTCTAAATTAAAATTAAGAGAGCTAATCTCAGATTACCCAACCAGATAACCTGTGGCATACTCGACCAACTACTGCCGTTCTGGGAAGGACTTCAGCCACCATATGGCAACCTCAAAGCATCCAGCATTCAAACCCGGACATACTTTAGCTATTAGTGGAGCTGAGACCCCGGCCAGGATGTGGCCACCTCAACCCATGCTGTACAACTGATGAAAGCAGTACAAGGGCCCACTGAAGACATAACAATTGAAGATGTAATAATTGCACGAGTCTTGCTAACATGACATCAAAAGCTCTCCCACATTCATGCTCTGGTGTCTTCTGCTTGGGCAGTATTTCAAAAGGTAAGTGGACAAATATCTCGTTCCATTACCTCAAAAAGAAAGTTGTAATCTTTTTCTACAATTAGAGATTAAAGAACCCTTTAATTAGGACTTATTTATCTTTCATCTTATAATATATAAGGTTACCAAAAGTCAGATGATAGTGAACCAAACCTACACAAGCCAACAGGCTTGTATACTTTTCTAAAGATTCCTACTGACTTGTCCTAAACATTGGGGAATGGCTTCAGAGAATTAAAAATTGACTTAATAAGACAAGTGAAGACTATTTTTACCAATGCAATATCCTGAGGCCGATCCCGCTAAAGGTGCGGACCGAAAGGGGGGTAGGGAAGGAGAGATTCTAACTTGACCGCCGAGACTGAAGATGGACTCGGTTAGCACCCCTGAAATTCATCCCAACTGAATGACCTCCCCGTTACTCCTCTTCAGGGAACGGTTTACAAGTTCTGGAACGGAAACGTCTGACTTGAGCCAGTCAGAGCACGTTATTCACGTCCAAGTCCGATCCCCGTGAGGGCCCGCGACCCCGACCCAGGGTTGCCCCTCCGCCTCCTCCTCGGTACGTACCAGGCTGGCGGCGCTCGCCTGGCTCCATCGGCCGCTCCCGGGCTCCGCCGCGGCGTCCCCTCCAGCTGCGGGCTCGGGAGCCGCCTTCCCCGCGCCAGAGCAGTGGCCCCGTGGGCCGGCCCCAGGCAGCCGCAGGCCGAGCGCGGCCGGGCGCAGCCACCAGCGCTCCACCAGGCAGCCGAGGCAGCCGGGCACCGAGCGCAGCAGAGCCCCGCGGGCGCGCCCCTTGCCCGGCCGCACCCCTGGCGTCCATGCCGCGCCGCGAAGGACCCCCCACGAGCCGCGCGCCACGCGCGAAGCCAGCATGGCCTTGCCGCCGCGCCGCGAGGAGACAGGCGGCGAGAGCTCAGCAGCCTGGGGCACCGGCGAGCCGCCTCTCCATAGAGTCCCCGCAAAGCCCGAGAAGCTCGGCTGCCTCCATTGCCGTTTTCAAACCCCAGCACGCTTCGCCTATACAGGTGGCCGGGAGCCGCCAAGGACGGACGCCTTCGCGACGCTTTTGCGACACCGTCGGCGCTGGGCTTCCCAGCGCCCCCGGCGGTAGCAGGAGGAGCGTGCCGTTAGGCGCCGTGGGCTTCGGGGAACCGCAAGCTGCGATTGCTGGCTTTTCTGCGCACACGGTCGGGAGCTGAGGTCCGCGGGGAGGGGAGGACAGGAACTAGCAGGGCTGGGTGATGGCGCAGCCGATGTGACCGGAGAGCGCAGGAGCCGTCTCGGGCCTCGGCCTGAAACCCTCCGAGGCCCGTGGCCTGCAGAAGGGCCCCCTCCGAGGTGTGTGCAGCGCTCCGGGGGTACTCGTGGCTGGTTTAAATATTAGTGAAGTGTCTGGTACAGAAGTCATTAATACAAGCTCCCTGCCCTTTTCCCTCTTCTGAGCGTTTCATAAGCCAAAAATATGGGTATTAGAAAATGACAATAGTATCAATTACTAATTGTTTACCAGGAAAGTGTTTACTACAGCTTGGTTCTAGCGCATTTAATCCTCCCAGCAACTCCAAAATAGGTTCCATTATTACCTTTACTTTTAGAGATAAGGGAATTTAGGCTTAGAGAATGGTTAAGAAACTTGCTTATTAGAGGAATATCCAAAAATAATTAAGAATGAGTTCGTCATTGATTAATATGCATTATTAATATTGCAATTATATTAGTTACTGATATTATGCATTAATATTGCAGTGTTGCAGAACTGTTTTCTTGAGTTCTGTGTCAAATTGGATTTGAATGGTTCTTGCTGCCTCGGCGCTATCCCCCCGCCCTTGTCTGTGATGACAGACCCACCTTAAAGTTGATCTTGAACTCTTGGTTCAGGTAGTTAGGAAAGGAAAAGACCAACTGAATTTGAAAATCATTGTAGATCTGAGTATTTATCAAAAGAAATCTTTAATTTCTTATGCACTTACTGAAATACTGACATTGAGAGAAAAGCTAAACTTTCTGTACTAGGAATGTAAAAAGAATAATTTTTTTGAAAATAATCATCTTGTAATCAAATACCTACAGTTCTCATAGACATTAGATAATCCTGTCAAGTGAGAATGGGCAGTATTTCAGCCTCTCCTGTGCTTTTCACTCACTGAATTGCCTTTATTCACGCTTTCCACTTCTTCCTAATTTAAGACAGTTTCTCACTGTTTTTTGGGATTTTTCTTCTCTCTGCTCCACAAGTGTTCCTGCTGCGTCTGCCTGTAATAGTTGGCGCTCTGTGGTCTTTTCTCTTACTGTGGTAATCATTTCCTAGTATATACTTGTTTCAAATCATCATGTTAAATGTACACAGTGATGTATGTCAATTATAGATCAAATAAAGCTGGAAAAAATTTTAATAAAATATAGTAAACTAGGTTATATATATATATATATATATTTTTTTTTTTTAAAAGAAAGCCAACTTTACTAGGGACTACTGATAGTACTGCTAAGTATAAAATAGGACAGTAAGGTGTCTGGCATTTTGGCCTAAAGGACAATGACAGCTTAATACATAGGACTAAAAACTAGGGGTGCTTGGCTGGCTTAGTCAGTGGAGCATGCGATTTGGGGATTGTGAGTTTGAGCCCCATATTGGGTGTAGAGATTACTTAAAAATCTTAAAAAATAAATAAAAAATGAGTAACAGTGCTTCTAGCAATGCATTTCCCTAACATTTTAAGACAGAAGAAGATCCAAGTATTAGTCTCTGATTTCATTTTCTAGAACATGACAGGTGTCAATAAATGAACACGTTAATCTGGGATGAAGGATGGAGAAAAATGCAGAAACCCCGGAAAACAATTCCAGATATAAGATAGTAGGTGCATTCAGTAAATAAAGAGTGTAACATATTTCCTAACATAGTTTGGAGGAAGGCAGAGGAAACCTAAAAATTCTACAGTTAGTATTTGTTTTATAATAAGTTCATTTTCTCTTATAAATACTATGATTGTTAATTTCTATCCAGTAAGATTAATTAAATAGGTGGGCAGCTCACATGTCTGAGGGGATTGGGAATCTCTGTCACTGAACTTTTTCCTCAAATTGGGAAAAAATAATTAGAAAAGTAAGTCTGTAACAAAAATCCAAATAAAAATCCCTATGTAGGGCACCTGGATGGCTCAGTTGGTTAAGTGTCTTCCACTCAGATCATGATCTCAGGGGCCTGGGATCAAGACCTGCGTAGTCGTAGTCGGCAGGCTCCCTGCTCAGCAGGGTGTCTGCTTCTTCCTCTGCCTTTCCCCCTGCTCCCTGCTCGTACTCTCTCTCTCAAATAAATAAAATCCTTTTTAAAAATCCATATGTAAACCCTAAGTTTCATGCTTGAAATTAATTTCAAATTTTTATCTCTCTACCTTTTTTATTAGAATTATTTTTTTAAAAAGCAAAATATACTAGTCAAGTATCTTATCCCAACTTCCCAAGTCAATCATGTAAGTGCTAACATTAAGATAAGAAAAGAATATGAAAAGAAAAAGGATTGTAAATAATTAACTTTGGATAATTAGCCAGTTGACAGTGTACTTTAGTTCTTTGAAAACATAAATGCTATTAACAGCCACTAATATCTATTGTGCAATCACAGCTATACTGTATTTGGCTCCTTATCCTTTAATTGATCTTTTGCTGAGGAAGTTGTAAAAATAAAAATCCTGCCCTTAGAAGAGTAGTAGTATCTTGCCACTTTTATGCTTTCCTTGGTAAGTTGCAAAGCACTGAAGGTCTGACTGCTAAATAAACACATCTTAGGCTTTTGAAAATTCTGTAACCCAATCATTCTTTCTCACATGTCACTTCTATTTGAAGTGTAAGTTTTTTGGGAAAAAAAACTCTTATCCCAAATCTATTAATATTTTCTGTCTATTGATAAATTGACAAACTAGAAATATATTTGCCCTCCCCTTATATCAGATATACAATGAGGCATATGTTTGTTATTTATAATAAGTTTTTTAGTCTGGGACATACTAAACTTGAGCCACTTTCCGTTCCTTGGGGACCAGAAGAAAATAGTGATAATACAAAGAAGTAGCTTTGCAAATGGATCTTATATAAATAATAATGGTTGGAAGTTAAAGCAAACCAGAAAATTGAAATTGTTTCTCTAGGAATCAAGTTAAATCTTGTAGGAGTGAACCCTAATTATTGACACTAAAGCCAGTATCTAGTAACTGGTAACTCAAATGAGGCGCAGGTTTAAATCATTGTAATAAACACACCAGCAGCCTTAAATAGGAAGGAATAAAATGATTGGATTTAGATTCAAAACACAAGAGAGGGAATTAGTGGTAGGGCCAAGCTCCTCAGGACTTGCAGAGATTAGCTCCACCTAAACTCTATAATTTAGCTCACTCTTTAATTTACTAAGAGATTAAATTACTAAGAGATCTAAACTATTTTTTTTGTCAACTTATAGTGCTAACTTTTCATAATTCCTTCCCACAAAAGTACTGCTGGTACTAGAACCATCAGGTCTCCACCTAAGAGTTTTAGGCAGTCCATTCTTGTAGGAACCTTTAAAGGAAATAAAAATGCTCAGAGGCAGGCACTACCTACAAGCAGGGAAGTCAAAAGGTTGGTTTCAATATATTTACCCTCTTCCCTTTGTAATATTTTAAAAAGTAACAAAGGGATTTTTTTTAACATTATTTAGTGTATGACTTGCTTTATTTTCCATTCTATTCCTCCTTCCTGTCAAAAATTTAAGAATCTTGTTTTCTTTTTTGTGGCTTATGGTGCCCTGTTTTAATGTTATTATCTATCCTTTCTATTTCAGGACAAATGACTGAATTTTGGAAGGTGAGAAATCACCTTCATTCCCCACCAGAAAAACATTAAACCAATGCTGTGGACTCCCGCAGTGATTTACTTCTGAGAGAAACCTTCAAATATGAGCACAAGGTAATTTTTTTTTTCCTCCACGGAACAGTTGTTGCTGTTCCTATTTTTATAAACCATGTCTCCCTACAACTCAGCATTAATTTTTTTCCAGTTGAATCAGGTTATTTAATAACCTTATTTCTGGTGCACATGCTGATACATAGGATAAGACGGTACAGGGCTGGCAGCTCAGTACTGATCACATTAAAACCAGTTGTGTTTCTGGCAAAATTGGAGTTAGAATAGGTTCCTTCTGACATTATGAGCAAAGTACAGGGCTGGATCCCTTCTGAAATATTTTTCACTGTTTTCTCATTAAAACTGAGATTTTACCCAGTTAAACTAGGTGTTACCAAAGTAAGGTCAACTTGTGTAGACGTCAGCCAGAGTTTGGGATGGATTTTCTGATACTAAAGCCACCCTCTCTCTTCTGTTCTTATCAATTCCAAGCCCATTTCCCAGGAGGCAAATTAGCCTAAAAGTATTCTTTTTTTTTTTCCACAAACACTTAGAAAATTGTTGTATACCAGTCATGTCCTAGATTCTAGGCAATCTGCACATGTCTCTGTTCTCAGAGAACTTTTTTTTTTTAAAGATTTTATTTATTTGACAGAGAGAGACACAGCGGTAGAGGGAACACAAGCAGGGAGAGTGGGAGAGGGAGAAGCAGGCTCCCCACTGAACAGAGAGCCCGATGTGGGGCTCAGTCCCAGGACCCTGAAATCATGACCTGAGCCGAAGGCAGACGCTTAACGACTGAGCCACCCAGGCGCCCCTGTTCTCAGAGAACTTACATGATTGCACACTATCTAGACTCCAGCCCCTAGAAGATAAAAAAATGTCTTCCAAGGAATGTTTTCCAGACCTATAGAATCTGGTAAAAGCTATAAAACATATGCAACACAAATTTCGTGTAAAATTGAAAGGAATCCTGTCACCAAGAGACCCACTCACCAACCCCAAAGAAAGAACCACTAGGCAGTGCTCACTCAACCCTGTGTTCAGAGTTCAGGTGGTCTTATGAGCCCTTTGCCATGTTCCCAAGAGTCAGGTCTTGTGCTTTTACTCTACAGCCCCTAATCTCATATATTAGGTGGAGAACATACAGGGATATCACCTCAACTTTTCTTTTAGGGGTATTAACTTAGCAACCCAGAAATTCTGGTGCCTCCTGTTTTATTCTTGGCCTTGGTGAAGGTATGTGACCTTTCTCTGAGAACGGCCAGAGGGGCATCTGGTCCCTTACCAAGAACCTCTAGTCTAGCTGCTGTTTAGGTAACCTCTGATGGTAGAGAACTACAGCCAAAGGGGGGAGAAGGGGCATCTTATGGTCTCATAGGGGAGGTGCCAATAACAAATGTTAAAAACTTCCACAACTGAAATTTTAGCTGAGAGGTCTTTTTTTTCACTGAGCGATTCTCCAAAATTCAGAGAGCAGGAGACAACAGAATGACATGACTTACCTTTTTTTTTTCCCCAAGCTGGTTTTCAGTGTCATGACTACATTTCAGCTCCTACTGTTAGAACACCGTGTGTAAGATGTTGTATTAGTGTCCTGTTGCTCTTGCAACACATTGCCACAAACTGCCTTCACACAAATTTATGACCTTACAGCTCTGTAGGTCAGAGTCTGACGCGGGTCTCCCTGGGCTTTAAACATCAGTGCACTGGCAAAGCTGTTGTTTTCTTGCCTTTTCCAGATTCTAGAGCCCACCCACATTCATTGTCTGATGCCTCCCTCCTCCGTTGGAAAAGCCAACGGTGTTGCATCTGTTGTGCTTTTTCCTGTAGTCACATCTTCCTCTCGCTGACGCTGCCCTTCTACCTCCCTCTGCCATTTCTAAAGTTCCTCTTAATTATATCAGGCCTGCCTCCCAATTTTAGGGTCAGCTGACTAGCAACCTTAATTTTCCTTTGCCATGTAACCTAACATAGTCACAGGTTCTGGGCACTAGACTGGGAATGAAGGAAGCTGTACATACACATGGTAACTAATTCCACCGTGGAGAAGAGCTGATGATGGAAATCAGTAGGTACACTCTGCCTTTCCATCCCCAGACCCACTCCCCAGAGCAAACCGATTATAGCTTGTCTGTTTTTAGTTCTTCTGAGGGCTGCCTCCATAACTTTAAATAAAGCCGTATGCAGTCTTTGTGAATTAATACTGCCTCCTGACTGTAAGTATTGTATATGATCTCAGTGGAATGCTTTGGATAAGGGTGTATCCGTGAGGGCTTAGTTGCAGGAAACACAAACCACTGTGGCCACAGTAAAAAGAAGGATTGCAAAATGGAATTGGGTGCTTGTAGGATTGTTGGAAGGGCTGGAGGAATGGGTGCTCCATGCTGGGTCTCCAGAACTGACTCCCAGGAAAAGGTTGCAGGTCTGGCTTGCTGCAGGAGCTGCTACCCCCACAACAGTGAGAAAGGTGGAGAATGGGGTTTGCTGCCATCACACCACAGCTGCCTCTCAGTGACTGCTAGAATTTGGCTGCAGAGAAATTAAATGTCTCAACTACACATGCCACCGGAAAACAAGCCAGAGGAAGATGGCTCTCTCTTCACTTCCACCTTCCAAATCTCACACAGGACATCTAGTCAGTGCAATCCAACTCACACTCAGAACGCTGGCTGCAAAAGGATTTTGGGAAACGTCTCTTTGCTTCCTAGTTTCTGCATGATAGGAAGGCACACTAGAGGTAGGAATGAAGGTTGGGTATCAAATCACCCTATTCATGACCTTCACCTCTTTGGCTAGGCAATATGCATATACAAAATTCTACCCATTCGTAACCTTCTGTATAACAAGAGCAACTACAACACGTTAATGCAAGGACCATATTTCCCTCCTTTATAAAATGAGAGTTATTTATACAGGCCCATCACTGACTATGTGGTGCATATTCCTCTTCTATCTCAGCTACATTCTCACCTTGATAACCTCTATCCTAAGGACTAAATTATCAAGTTAATTATCACCAGTCCACTTAAAACACTAGAGGAAAATAAGGAGGGAAGGCAAATTGGTTAATGTACAGTGCAGACCCTTCCCCAGCTGGTCACGAGGGTCATGAGGTTGTCGTTAATGTTTAGAACTATCTTCCTCCATTCCCATTCCTTACTCCCTTTTTGCTCAGTCAGCATCTCAGCTGCTCTGGATTCTTTACCTGGTAGCGACTCAAAGCTTCGTTCCCGAGGAGTCTGAGCCTTTAGAGATCCTGCCTGTAGCCTTCCATCACCCCTTACTGGTGGATGTGAATATAGTAGGAGCTGCCCCAGAAGATTCTCTGAGATCAGAAATGTCCTCCATGCCCACATTTATAAGAGTGACTCAGTTTCCCCCTCATTCTCAGGTACAAACCCATGAATGTCTTTTTGTTTTCTACGTCATAGGTGTAAGAACCCAGTGTGTTTAGGTGCCAGTCTCAACTTCCAGTTCAATGGAGCCATTGCTGTGTCCTCTGACAGACATTATTGCCCCTTTAGATGGTAAGACCTCTAGCGGGTAAAGCCTAATATTATGGGGATGCAAAACAAAACTTTATGAATGGTCATTAGAAGTAACAGTGAAACCGTTCTAAAATTTGCACCTTGTTTCCTAGGCCCGTGTATTCTGGCTGTGGGAGAAACAGAACCAAGAAGTGGTCACTAGCTTGAAGTTCACGAAGGACAGCACCCCAGACTTGCAAGGTGTTGTCATCATCACTGAATCTTCATTGTCCTTTCCAATGTCCCCTAAGGCCAGATGCTTTTGGGTAATGGGGTACATAGTAAAGACAGTAGCATATGAACTTCAACCCATTGCCTTACTTCTTCAGGCATTAAAGGACTTTGTCAGGAGGAATATTATGTGGGATAGCATGATGACGAATTCACATACGGCATTGCTGAAAGGAGCCAGGCAGGAGGGGCAGACATCTGAAATAAGCTCCCTTCCCACCCTCAGTGAAAACAAACCGCTGCTCCCTGGAGGCCCAGTGATCAGCCACCAAGTGGCAAGCTAGTCCCCTTGAAGCATGGTACTGTGTTATTTCAGGGTAGGTCGCTCCGCTGGCAAATCAGATACTCAGCAATGGTGATAGTCTATGTCACCCTTGGTGAGGGGAGGTTTAGGCTTGGTCAGCACAAGCCTGGCTGCCAACCTTGGCCTCATGGACACTGTGTTCATGAATTCATTGAGCAAGGACTGGGGTGGCTAGAGAGAAAGAGACTAGCTGGCATTCATGGAATAGGTGACATCCATTAATTGTGAAGCTCCTTTAGTGAGAATATCTTTGGACACAGATATTCTCATACTCAGAGCACATTCTGAGACGCTCATTCACATGCCTCTTCCCCAGAATGACTTTCATTCAGCAAATATTTTACTGCATGCCATTCGTGTGCCAGGTACTGCTATAGGAACAGGGGACTTAACAGTGAAGATGAGAGTAAAAAATTCCTATCCCTATGGAGCTTACATTCTAGCCGGACTAAGGAAACAGGCAAAAAAGGATGAATAAACTACATAGTACATTAGATTGTATTGATTGCTACAGAGAAACAAAAAAAAGGAAGGAAGATAGGGTTGGGGGGAGTGCAGTTTTAAACAGTGTCTAGGAAAGATGGCACTAAGAAGGTGACAGTTGAGTAATGACCCAAAGGAGTTGGGAGGATGAGCCATGTGACTCGGGTGGAAAAGCATATCGGATGGCAGAAACAGCATGTGCGAAGGCCCTCAGATAGGAAATATGCCTGGAATGTTCTAGAACCGGCAGACACCAGCATGGCTGAAGCAGATTGAGTGAGGAACATGAGAGCAGTGGGAATCGAGGTGAGTGTGTGAACATGGGGCAAGATGTGAAAAGCATCGTTCCGTTCAGTAGCTGCTCCCCATAGCTCCACCGCCCCCCATCCACCCCGCTCTAATCTACAGTGGTATTCTTATGAGTTTCCTGGGTTTAGTGTTAGCTTGCAGGTAATATATGATATTTACTTTAGGTGTATCTTGCATACTACAGTTTGTGAACCCTTCTGAAAATCTTTTTGTTTTAATAGGTGAGTTGAGTCCATTTGCATTTATTAATGTGACATATTTAGGTTGTCATGAATGTTAGGCTCTTATTTTAAAAACTTTTCATGATGTAATGTTTTCTTGCTCTGTTTTTGTTTCTGTTCTAAAACTTGTACCTGGGATTTGTTTTAATCAGGTATGGTAAGTTAACAGACATGAGACAACTGCTTTTGGAAAGCATTAATTACATTTACTAAGAGAAGGGGACATACCATGCCACAAAGGGCCACATGGGGAAGCACCCTGGTTGGTCAGGAGGCAAGAGTGAGGGGGAACCCTAGGCCTTTATTGCTATAGTTGTGGGAAGTTTTTAGGTGGGGATGTCCCCTATTGGAGAGGAAGTGAAACACAAATGCTGGGGATTGTGGTTGGAGGCTTTGTTAGTTGCAAAAGCTAGGATCACAGAGGAGATGTAAACAATTTTGGCTGCTAGTTCGGCCTTCTGATTAATGGAGACCAAATGGACAACACAATATGGAAGAAAACCAGAAGAGATTCCTCTGATAATTTATTATCTTTTTCCCTATAACTTTCTATGTTACAACCTTTGACTTTTAAACAGTATTTATTATTTTCTTCTTTGAACACAATGTAGTATATTTATACTCTATGAATATATACACTATCCTACTATATACTATATATGTATACTATATATATACTATGTACTATATGAATACAGCATACAAATATTTATACTATATGAGTACAGAATATTAAGTATGTAATAATGTATAGCGTATATATAGTATACTACATTCGTAGTATAAAGATATATAGTGTGTGAGCATACTATTTATGTAGTACCTATCCTTGTCCTTTCTCATCTGCCACCTTATTTTGTTTGTTATCTTGAGTTTTTTGTGAAATATGATTTTAATTCTATTAATAGATTTATCAACTATATGTACCTTTTACGCCTCCACCCCAGCCTTTAAAGATGAAGATATCATATTTACACTATTTACCTTCTCCCTCCTTCCTTTTTTTCAAAGTCAGGACTTAGTATTTACATTCTGTTCTATGACAATTATCCTCACACTTATCTTAGTTTTTATCTTACAGTTAAACATTCAATGTACATTGCCAGTTTTTCCTCCTGTTCATCTAGTTTGCTATAAGCGGTCTTTTAGTAGATTCTACAAGAATGGCTCACTTTCTGAGTTCTTGTATGTTAGGAAGTGTTTGTTGCCTTTATATACAAATGGTATTTGTCTGGCAGTCTAGTACCATTTGAACACTCTCATAACAAATGAGAAAGTTTGGCTTTATTGGTCTTGCCTCACTAAAGCAAAACCCAAAAACTTCCCTAGCTTTCTATGGAAGGGCATATAACCTAGCTTTCTTCAATCAGATGTTTCTGAGATTTCTGTTTCAGATGCAGCAACTTGAGGAGACCCCATGAAGAACTCTTTGTTGCTCTTTTGGTGTGGGTGGGGACATTGTTTCTGCCTTTCCCCAGGGGCAGTCATTTCCCAGTGTCCTTGGCACAGAAGTGACATCAATGGGCCATAGAGGCCCAGCACTTCCCTCTAGTGCATTGTGTGGCAGTACAGTGATAATGGATGGCTTCCTCTTCAGATCAATTCTTTCTTTTTTTTAAGATTTTATTTATTTATTTGACAGAGAGAGACAGCGAGAGAGGAAACACAAGCAGGGGGCAGCTGGAGAGGGAGAAGCAGGCTTCCCGCGGAGCAGGGAGCCCGATGCAGGGCTCAATCCCAGGACCCTGGGATCATGACCTGAGCAGAAGGCAGATGATTAACCAACTGAGCCACCCAGGCGCCCCGTTCTCTTCAGGTCAGTTCTAAGGCATGATATTAGAAAGTGCTCCTCGAAGCTTAGCCTTTTGGTTTGCCAGTCTTCCAACAATTCTGTGAGCTAACCAAAATTCTTTAAAAAAAACCAAAAAACTTATCATTTTCCTACTTAATCAAGTCAGTCAGTTTATATTGTTTGCAACCGAGATGCTGCAAACCATAACCAAATGGGCCATATCTGACCCATTACCTACTATTAAATGGTTTTTAAAAATTAAGAATATTTAGTATTCTTAACATGAAATTTTTAGAAATTCAGATTTCATTATTCATGAATAAAATTGTATTGGAACACAACCACACCCATTTATTTATTATCTATAGCTGCTTTAGAGCTAAATGACAGAGTTGAGTATTTGTGACAGAGACCATATAGCCCAGAAAGCCTAAAATTTTCACTCTCTGGCCCTTTACAGAAAAAGTGTGACTCTTGGTTTGCAATTAAGAAACTTGACTGAAACATCTGGGTATAAAGTTCTTTCTTAAAACTCTTGTAGGCATTGCTCCATTGTTTTACTGATGAATATTGCTTTGGAGAAATTTGAGAACAGCCAGATTTTTTTTCTCCTTCAAGGTGGCTTATCTGTGTGACTTCTCATTCAACCTCTCTTCGTCTATTTCTTGTGCTCCAGCAAGACCCTGAGAAGCTGCTGTTGCCAACCTGTGTGACATAGCCACACTATTGTGAACGGGGTTTTCCTTTTTGCCCCAAAAGGTGTGTAAAGTATATTTTAATTAAGAAATACGCTTTGTTGGTTTCTTCTACAGTATTCACCACCAGGCATCATCTCAGCCTCTTCCCTCTTGTAAGGCTGCCTGGGTCATCCTGATAGCTTTTGGCAGCTCTTCCTAGTGTGTTGGGGTTTGAGAATTCAGTTGTCTTCTAGTTCACAGAAAATGGACTATATATTTTTATTTTTCAGTTTCCTTATTGGTTTTGGGCAACTTCACAGGAGAGAAAGGGGAGAATGCCTCCATCTGTTGCTAGAAAACATTTTTATTCTCTTGAAATTTTTCATATTCTTAAATCAAGTTGCTTACCTACTTTGGTTAAGTTCTGTGTCATCATTTATAAGGGCTATAATCACCCACTGTATGTGTATTGACTTCATAGGGGTATGTGTCAGAATCTGTTTTACCTGTTGGGGCAGCAGCAGCAGAATAAAGCGAAGTCTTTGTCCTTACAAAATGAGACAAAAGATGTGTCTTGGTCCAGAATAGTGGAACTGGAAGTAATTAAAAGTGCTGAATTTGTTGATGGACTAATATGAGGATAAGAGGGGGGAAAAAAAGAGGTAAAGATAACACCAATATTTTTGGCATGAGAAACCACCAGGATAGTTATTAAATATTATAAAATTTCAGAATACCTGGGAAAAGGGAAGATCCAAGTACCTTCTCAAGAAGAAAAAAAAGATCATGTGCCAAGAATAAAAATCATAATGGCCTTGAATTTCTAAACAGAAACACCAAAAACTAAAAACAATAGAGCAACATCTATTTTTAGTTTTACAAACTAAAATTCTATGCCCAAACTATCAATCCAGGGGTAAGGGTAGAATTTGCCATGTGAACTCTTTCTCAGGAAGCTACTAGAAGATGGGTTCTACCAAAAGGAGGCAGGGAAACAAGAAAGAGGAAGACATAAAAGTCAGGAAATGGGACAGAAAATGAGAAGTCCCAAAATGACAGCTGTGTAATTCAGACTGGAAAACGCTAGAGAAATCCAGGAGAGAGGTCTCCAAGAAATTAAAATAGACTATTTGATTTGTTTGCATGTTCTGAGAGGAGACACAGACTTGCAGTGGAGCCTTTGGGCCATATTAGTGGTAGATACAGAGAAAGCTAAGTAGTTGAAAAATTAATTATTAACTCTAAGGAAAACAAAAGTCCAGTACAAGAAAGGAGATGAGTAATATTCAGTAGTCATAATAATGTTGAGGCTATAGATTTAACATAAGATCATGACATATAACTAAATTTAACATAAACACAAACAATGAATCATGGAACACAACATCAAAAACTAATGATGTAATGTATGGTGATTAACATAACAATAAAAAATTTTAAAAAATTTTTAACATAAAATCATGACATACAACTAAATTGGAACAAAATGGGAAAGTGTGTGTGTGTGTGTGTGTGTGTGTGTGTGTGTGTGGGCATGCAGAAGGGTTTAGGAGAAGAGCATTCTCACCTCTCACCTTCTGTGTAGTAAGTTAATGAGGCTGCTTGGTTTTAATATAAGCCTTGCACAGCTATTGACTTAAAACAGGTACATATTTAACTTCAGTAATGGAACATAATATTTTAAATTTTTTTTCAGTAGCTAAGATGTTAAATATGTCAATATAAAATATTTCCAATTTTTTTTGGAATTGAAAGTTGGTTTTAATTTATTTCTGAAGGATATTCAGTATTTGTATGTCAGAACTCTTTAAATATTAAGATGTAACTGCAAATACCCAGATGAACATTTAATAAAAAAACTATAAAGTATTTATAAGAATAAAAGAGGTCAAAAATAAAACTATGAAAATATATATCATTTAAAAATCTAAACAATTTATTTTTAATCTTTCAGAAAAGCTGTAAATATAAAGCACGTGATTTTATCACTTCTTAAATACCACTCTTTTCCTATTACATTACTTTTAGGATGTCATTTCCTAGAGAATATTCTTTTTTTTAAAAAACGTATTCTTTATTACCAAGATGGTTTTAACCGGAGGTGCTGGTTTGGTAGTCCTTTTACATAGTTTGAAGCTGGTAAACCTTTGGGCCTTTTTTTAAGAGGTAACCTTGGTCATTTAATGATCCAATAAAATTTTCAAAATCAGCAACCTGGAATAAAATATCAAAAAACAGCCCATTAAGTAATATGCAAAAATATTATTTATAAAATGAATCTCTCAAACAGAAATATACAATTCTCAAGTTTCTTGGGCAAATAAATTTATTTGTATTTCCTCATAGAGAAAACTGCTAACATATGAGCTTTCAATTCTTTTTTTTTTTTTTAAGATTTTATTTATTTATTAGAGATCGAGTGAGGGAGAAACAGCATGAGAGGGGAGAGAGTCAGAGGGAGAAGCAGGCTCCCCACTGAGCTGGGAGCCCGATGTGGGACTCGATCCCAGGACTCCGGGATCATGACCTGAGCCGAAGGCAGTCACTTAACCAACTGAGCCACCCAGGTGCCCATGAGCTTTCAATTCTATTATGAGATTCTATTCGATTAGCTAAGCTAATAAAAAATAAAAACTCCAGTGTCTAGAATATTTTTTAAAAAGATTTTATTTATTAGAGAGAGAGTGAGCGAGAGAGAGCACAAGCTGGGGGAGAGGCAGAGGGAGAGGGAGAAGCAGACTCCCCGCTGAGCAGGGAGCCTGATATGGGGCTTGATCCCAGGGCCCCGGGATCATGACCTGAGCCAAAGGCAGATGCTTAACTGACTGAACCACCCAGGTGCCCCCAGAGTATTTTATATTTGTTTTAGATTAGCTTCAAAACAAAAATTAGACTAGCTTCAAATCTGAAATGAAGTGGGCAATTTTCCATATAAACTATGTGCTTAAAGTTGTATTACATTCCAATTTCACTAAAACTTTTAAGTAGGTAGAGAAGGTGGAATCATGTCTATTTAACAAATGAGGAAACTGAGATTCAAAGATGTTAAGATGACTTGCCCACAAGGGATTGTCAGAGAAACATGGAAAGTGAGTCTTGCTAGGTTTCTCCCAACTGTCAAGATACTAAAAAAGGGTAGGTATGTATTTTAGATAGAAACTTTTTTTTTTTTTAAAGCTCTGAGCAGCTCATTTCATAGCTTAAATAGAGAAAATAAGCTTATATTTTGAAATACTCCAAAAAAGCCTCTTCCATTTTTTTATCCAAATCTTTTATTACTTTTTCAATCTCCATTTTATTTTTTTAATTTTAATTCCAGTAATAGGTGTTATGTTCATTTCAGGTGTACAATAGTGTGATTCAACAATTCCACATATTATTCAGTGTTCCTCATGATAAGTGTAGTTTTGTTTAAAGATTTCTTTTTATCTTTTTCTAAAGATTTACTTATTTGAGAGGGAACACACATGTGATCAAGCACGTACGGGGGTGGGTGGGACAGAGGGAAAGAGGGAGAGAGAATCTCAAGCAGACACACTCCCTGCTGAGTGCAGAGCCCAACTCAGGGCTCAGTCTCAACACCCTGAGATCATGGCCTGAGCCAAATCAAGAGTGAGATGCTTAACCGACTGAGCCACCCAGGCACACCTAAAGATTTTATTTAAGTAATCTCTACACCCAGGTGTGGGGCTTAAACTTGCAATGCTGAGATCAAGACTTGCATGCCCCACTGACTGAGTCAACCAGGTATCCTTGATAAAGTGTACTTTTAATCCCCTTCATCTATTTCACCCATCCCCTCCCCCACCTCCCTCTGGTAACCATCTGTTCTCTATAGTTAGGAGTTTGTTTTTGGTTTGTCTTTCTCTCCGTTTTTTTTTTTTTTAAGATTTTTATTTATTTATTTGAGAGAGAGATAGCAGAGAGGGAGAAGCAGACTTCTGCGGGGCTCGATCCCAGGACCCTGAGATCATGACCCGAGCTGAAGGCAGATGCCCAACCGACTGAGCCACCCAGGCGCCCCTTGTTCGTTTGTTTTGTTTCTAAAATTCCATATATGAGTGAAATCATATGGTATTTGTCTTTCTCTGACTTATTTCACTTAGCATTATACTCTCTAGCTCCATCCACGTTGTTGCAAATGGCAAGATTTCATTCTTTTTTATGGCTGAGTAATATTCCAGTGTGTGAGTGTGTGTACTGCATCT